TATATATACCCATCCGTTAAATATATACATTCTTACAGTGACAAAATATAGATAAATGAATTATATAACCATCCGTTAAATATACTTATCTATATGCAACACACACACATATATATATATATAAATATATGTGTGTGTGTGTGTGTGTGTATATATGTATATGTATGTTTATATTCTGCATACCTTTTTATCTATAGCTGGGAATCTGAATTTCTTGGTGTCTGATTCTTTCCTCACTCCGCGTTGCCCACATATTGAAAGTTGAGTTGAATACTTTCTATTTGTGCTCCGATTCACCAAATCCCCACCTAGCATTCGATGATTTTGATTTATAATATCGTGGATATTTTTCTGTACCTTTGTACCTATGGTTTTAAACTCATTCTCCTGGTTATCACCATTATACTGCCATAGACACTGAGATACTTGCAGTGTCACCAACCCATCATTATCAATCTCAGCTTTAATCTGTCCCTCTGGGTTTATATTGATATCTTTTGCTGATAGCTTAAAAGAGATACGACGATTCAACCTAGTGTTGATATTCTCTTGAACTCGAGCGTTAACTTTGGGATCCATTGTTACTACTGTAAGTGGGATATCGTGTGAATAACACTGTATTTTGCTTTAATACTATATAATGGCAATTTTGGCCTATTTAATTTCCCTGGTAAATTTTCAATATCAGTTCTTACTGTGATTTTCACATGTGAATACCCTAGAGACGTTGTCTGGTATTTATTATTAAAATATATTTGAACCTATATTTCTAGGTCAAATATATTTCTAGGACAAATTTATCTTGTCCCGTTCTGAATTCGTGTGATAAAAAAAACCCGCAAAATGATTTTATATTAAAACATTTTTATAACTAAAATATCTACCGGGATATAGTACAGGGGCCTAGGTGGGGGGTTAATAATTATTTTGTTACCAGTGCCGTACAAAGAGATTCTTTTTTATATATAAAACGTATTTTGTTTTTAAAAGCAAAACAAAAAAATGCGACGACACCGATAAATATATATTGGACGGAAGAGAGGTACAGACACAAATTATTTAGATTTTGTGATGATGACATCATGACACATGTGTTTATCAAATTTGTACCGAAAAGTAAATACAAATATTTATACCTAAAATAACCCTGTTGTTGTTTTTGTTTTTTAAATAAAAACAGTGCTAAAAATACACTTTTTGTGCACAAACATAGAGGTTGGTTATATTTTTAAAAATAGAGTTCAGTCTATTGAGTTCATTCACAGGGTAAATAAATAAATAGCTAAATGTATTTTATTTAGCCAGAGGGTATTTTTTTTAAATAGGCTAAAGATGGATAGTTATTGGTTGGTTATTACTGATAAAGATCCACATCACAAGTGATAAAAACATCATAATAATAAAATACATTGCCTAAATCAAACAATAATGGCTATGTATATTTTATTTTAAATTTAATAAATATGCCCCACACTACAAGAGAGGAGAGAGTGTGTGTGTGGCTGCGAGTGTGGGGCCGGTGTGGGGCCACTGGGCCTCCTCACTCCTGTGGCCTGTGTGCTGGCGGCTGATGAGTGTTTCTACAAACAAAGTCGTTCCAAAATTCAAATTTCAAATTTCTGGCTCGGAACTTGGAAGTCGGGGAGTCGGAATCGGGAATGTAAATAATTTTTGTGAGAACTCTTCCAATGAGGGGGGTTTTTTATAGTAGGTCTCGTGGTAGGGTGACTATGTTGGCTGGGTGACTATGTTGGTTGAGTGACTTATGTTTTTTAATAATATATAATCCAAAAACAAAACAAAAAAAACCAACTTTCGAGACATTTCAGCCGCCTTACGTTTTACGTTAGAACGTATGAACCGTGAAAGCTAAATACTTTTCATTTTTACGTTTGTTTTTTAGGTAAGTCCTGATATCGTCTCCAATAATAGAGTATAGACAAATCTTTCACGTATTTTATTGTGTCCATTGTCCAACGAGGCCACAATCCACATTGTCTCGTGACCACCGGTCCACCTGTGGAGATTGGAGTGCTCTCAGTCCTTGGGGTTTGGACTTTGGGCTAATGGAATTGTTCATTATAGAGCACACATACTGTGTCTCTCTTCAACAGATATAAATATCAGCACGACCAAGGTCGTGACTAGACATAACGTATCATCCAAAGTTATCTGCAAACACCTCACCAGAATAGATAGAATGTTTCCCAGAGTAGTCAAGTCCACACAAGGCCTCAGTAGGCCAGCACTGTATTTGAATATCCGTAGTGTACATGTGGAGCAAAAACTAGAGGAGTTAGGGTTCACTTTGGCCCCGGGCGCGCCTAAGGCCAATTATGTTAGTGCTATGAGATCAGGCCCGCTTCTCTATCTATCTGGACATATTCCTTATGCTAATGGATGCAGTGGAGACTTGATTGTGGGGAAAGTGGGTGATACTATGGATGAAGAAGCAGCGTATAAGGCTGCACGCATGTGTGGCATTGGATTATTGGGCACCATTAAGCATGAAATTGGAGATTTGGATAAAGTTAAGGTATAATATATTATATATATATATATATATATATATATATATATATATATATATATATATATATATATATATATATATATATATATATATATAGTNTATGT